GAAGGAAGGCTGGGCAATCTACTTCCATACTTCCATAGTTGATACTGCCTCGGAAACCCAAGGAGGGGTCGCTATGAGTCAGGTCCGACGCAACGGCACATAACAACAACAATACTGAGAGTATAAAATGCTGTCTCGTAGTGGTTATAATTTGCATTAGCCTCCTGGGAATACCAGCTTTAAGGAGAGAGTCTCGATATTATATTCCCTACCTTGTGCAGACCTTGGGCTATACTCTGGACCCTGGAGAAGCCAAAATAATTTTTTTTAAAAAAATTATGTTAATTATTTTTAAGAAGGAAAGTTTCATTTCATTCAGTTCAGTAAATGTCCTTAAAGTTAAAGATACTTTCAGTGCTCTGCCTGCTGCTTTAGGTTCCTGCCTCACCAATCCCTGGCCTGAGTTTCTTACTTTTTGTTAAATCTTATTCTTTGTAGCCTATCTTATGTTTTCCCGATGTGGGTAAGTCCAACATGTAGATGGAAGCACAAGTCCAGGCAGAATCATTTATCTCATCAAATCCAGAGATGTATAAGAAAAAGGGGGTAAAAGAGAGGAGGCAGGGGAAAACAAATGCATGTTTTGTATAGACAATGTATTCCCAGGAGAGGAGTCACTAGGACAATGGTATTCATAAAATCTTGCAGCAAAGAGGGAGTGGAGTCCCATCTCTGGTTGCCTCTTTACTTGAAATCCTGACAAACTTCTGAAATGCAACCACATATGTACAAAGCTCCTGGTTCAATGATTAAGGAATTCCAAATCAGGTAATTTAGAATATTTTCTAAAAATATCTAAGGATTAGTCAAAAACTAGTACAATCATTTACTTACTTGCTTTCTAATAAATACCGACATGAAAAAGCACTGACAACATCATAAAAAGTACTCGTTTGAATTTTAACTTACTTTGATGAGTTTTGAGAGCAAAGATTGCTACTAGAATGTAATGGACTTTAGTTTTCTTTTCTCCTTAAGTTTCATAATAAGCACAGTACCTATTTTATGGTTAATAAAAAATCAGCACACAGAAATACAGAGCCTCAAAAGCAGGGTTATTATTATGGAGTAAGCTTTATGTGCTTTACTTGACAAAATTAAAATTTTATATGATTCTTCTGTAACAAACATTTATTTTACCTTTATCTATTTCTTTAAAGGATTGCTTGGATATTCTGGAGGCACTACCTTTATGATCCTTCTCAATTAACTCTTCTATTTCCCGTTGCTTCAAATCATGAAAAAAATCCAGGTCATCATCTAGGCTTTAAAAAAAGACTCCATTACAGCAATCTAGAAGCTTTCTACAGCATTTTAAAAAGATAAAAAAAAACTGCTTTTCAAATATTAACAGAAAAAAGATTATTGAGCAAAAATGTAAAAAGTAACAGTCATGGATCCTGAGGATCAATATAAGCATCTTTTGCCCTTTTCTGCCTATGCAAATGGTCTTAATTTAAAACTACAAATATCTGTAGGATGTTCTGCAACTTTTAAACGATTTCTTTCATTTGATATCAAAAACTCTGTGATGGAGATATAACAGGTATTGCTTATCCATAGTTTTGGCTAAATGATCTAACATTTCAGATGAGGAAACTGAATTCCAAAGAATTCAAATAATTGGCAGGTAATATAGCTACCAAAAGGTACAACAAAATCCTAGGTCTTCTCCCCAAAAAGTTTATCTCAGAGTTGAAATTTCTACAGCAGCACTGTCCAAAAGGATTATTATACAAGTCACACAAGTAATTTTTAATTTTCTAGTAACCAGATTAAAATTATTAAAAGAAACCAGTGAAATTTTGATAATATATGGCATTCCTATGAGTCAGAATCAACTCGACAGTACCTAACAAGTAGCCAGTATATCTAAAAGATTATCATCTCAGCATGTACTCAACATCAAGAGTTACTAATGAGATATGTTGCATTCTTTCACCCATACTAAGTCTTCCAAGTGTGCATTTTACACTTATAATACATCCAATTCAGACTAGCCACATTTCAAATACTCAATAGCCACAGGTCCCCTGTGGCTACCAATATTAGATAGCATATTTCTAGATTAAATCAGTCAGAACTTAGAATTTTGAAAAAACTTTACAGTGTTATAAAAATCTTCACAGGTCAAAAACTTCAAATTCTAACTTAAAATTATACCTCAATCACTTATTAAAAAAAAAAAAAAAACTATCAGTGAGGTATAAGAAAATAATTTTAATGAATTCACAATTGTTACATTAAAGCAATTTTCACTTTCCTTCCCCCTATAGATAGTCTAAGAAGCCCTAGTACCACAAATAGTTAAGTGCTCAGCTGCTAACTGAAAGGGTATTGATTTGAATCCATCCAGCTGTTCCTCAAGAGAAGACCTGGTGATCTGCTTTCATAAATATTACAGTCAAGAAAACCCTATAGGACTGTTCTACTTTGTCATATGGGGTTGCTCTGAGTCAAAAAGAGCACCTAATAACACATTCAATTTGCCTCACATACAAATACTGAATCCACATCAATGACATTATTTTGTGATTACCAAATAAAATAGTAATAACAAACATGATAATAATTATAACATTGAGTACTTATACCCAGCAGTGTTTTAAGTGCCTTAAATGAATTAACTCATTTAACTAGAAAATGCAGCAATCATGGAAAAATTCAAGCCCCCAAATCTCAATTACAGATATATTACCACTGCCATCAAGTCAATTTGACTTATTCGACGGCAAACAACAACAACATAGGACATAGTAAAAGAGCCCCAAGGTTTCCAAGGCTATAATCTTCAGACACATACTGCCACATCTTTCTCCTGTGGTAGGTTCAAACTGCCAACTTCTCAGTTAGCAGACAAGCATTTAACCAGGGCTCCTTACAGACACTTTAGGTACAATTTTCTATTTTTCTTCTAAATTATCTCAATGTTTCATTTCTTACAAGTATATATATGTATATTTTATTCATGGGAGTGCTGGCGGTATAGTGCCTAAGGCATTTAACTGCTAACCAGAAGTTTGGCGGTTCAAACCCACCAGCCACTCCTCAAAAGGGAAGATTGGGCAATCTACTTTCATAAAGATTCCGCCTCGGAAACCCAAGGAAGGGTCCCTACAAGTCAGATCCAACTCGAAGGCAGCTTAATTTATATATATATATATATATTTATTCTTGACTGCTAACCAGAAGGCTGGCAGTTCAAACCCACCAGCCACTCCTTGGAAGGAAGGTTGGGCAATCCT